TGAGGAATAAGTCTGTAGATGAGAATCTGACTCCTTGGGGATAAAATGGTTAAGGCCAACGAGGGGTTCAGATGGGAAGATCGACTTGGGGATAAAATGGTTAAGGCCAACGAGGGGTTCAAATGAGAAGTCATGGCCTGAGTTGAACGACCTAGGCATCACTCTGCTGGGGATAATAAGTCATGGTCAAGGTGAAACTCTACTGAGGATGAGAATAGTAGGACACGGACAAATTTTAGCATGGGGCATGCAGCAATGATAATTTATTGAACACTCAGCCGGCGCTGAGTCTTTTGAAAATGCAACCGGCGCTGATGTCAGCCAACATTACTTCTTGAACACTCAATCGACGCTGGAGTCATTAGAAACATAGCCGGCGCTGAGGACAGCTCGTGCTATCTCTTGAACACTGCTAACACTGAGTTGTTGAGAACACAACCGACGCTGGGGTTATCGAAAACACATCCGGTGCTGGGTAGTTTCGACAACATAGTCGGCGCTGGGTGTGGGTTAATGTTCGGGCCCTGACTAGAGTCTGACCCGATCTTCGTCTCTGTTGCATAAGATTTCATGGGCGGCGATAAACTTCGCTTGGGCCTTGGGTCAAAGCTCGACCGGCCCGGCTCAGCCCATTGACATTTGGCCTTCTCGGATGTGGCTGGTTCTTGTTGCAAGGGGCATTTGAGGGAAGCATTGGATATAAAAAGGGGGGGTAACTCCCGTTTTTACCGTTTTATGAAGGGTAAAAACAAATTAAAAAAAATTGCTTTTAATGGTGAGGGTGAAGTTTTTCGATATGGGCTTCGGCAAGCACAAGTTGTTTCGGCAACGGTTAGTGGGAAGGTTGTGCTTTGCAGGAGTTTGCCGGCAAGGGTAGTGAAGTAAACAGGGAGTCTGTCGGAGTTTGCTGGAGTTGCAAGAGCTTGCAGTGAGAAAAGGGAGTTCTTCGCGAAAAATAGGGAACTCCAATTGCGGTTTTGTGATTTCTGGCGAAGGGAAAAAGGGGCAGAAATTGCAACAGAGGGCTACTCAGGGCTTTCCAGTGATTTTGGCAGTTTTTCAGGGGGCGTAAGTGGTTTCCCGGTGATTTTGGCAGTTTTTCGAGGGCATAAGTGGTTTCCCGATGAGTTGAAGAAAAGGTCGTAGAGGGTTTCTGGCTGCAAAAGGGAATTTTCGGCGGAGATTTGAAGGGTGCGAGGAAACGAACCGTCGTTGAAGGTGGACAGTTGCGAGAAGGCGAACGGTCATCATTCCACACATGTGAGGCCAGGACATGGTGGCAATTATTAGGCGGCGCAATGGGGCGCATGCAGAATATGTAGCACGTGCAGGAGGTTTGAACCCGAGCGGCGATTGTCTTTTGAAGACACAACCAGCGTTAGACGTTGGCAAACACAGTCGATGCTGAGCATTGGCGAACACAGCCAGTGGCAAGCATTGGTAAATACAACCGATGCTAAGCGTTAGTAGACACAACCGTCGCTAAGCTTTGAGTGCACAATCGGCACTGACTCCTTGGAAACACAGCCCACACTAAGCATATGAAATCACATCCAACGCTAGACCTTCGTAAACCCAATCGACGCTAGGCTTCTTGAAACACAGTTGGCTCTTAACCACTGAAGATACAGCCAGCGCTTACCCAGTGCCTTTAGCAATTTTGATTCGACGGTGAATCCTTGAGTCTTTTATAATGGCTTAGTCATCTTACCAAATTCCTAACATAAAGAACCTTCCAATGGGAGGAGAGGTCGGTACCAATGATTTTATCGGTGAGGCTTTAGTAAGGGGCGAGCCCATTTGGCTAACAAAGCCAGTATGCAAACCAGAGTGGCCTCTCAGTGTTACTTTTATCACTGACTCGTTTCGTTTTGAAGTCCAAGAGGACAATGAAGGCAATGTCAGTATTGAAGAAGGGATGGCGCTCCTTCATTGTATGCACAGAAACATAGCTTCTGGGGAGAACTTGCCTACCCTAGGGAAGCGAATGGTGCAACCAAAGGGGCTAATATGGTCAGGAAAAGGCCTTTGAATACAGCGGGAGCACCAATATTTAAAGGGATACTCTTCTTGGACCACCAGGGTGTTGGTGTCTCACAGAAGTATTCTTGAACTCGCTTCTATGCTAGCAGTGGTTCAGTGTTCGACCAGCTATTATGATCAGTGCTCCAATAGTACTGCTGAAGACATGGAGCCATGTTAAAAATACCTGGCTTCTTGGGCATGGGGAAGCAGGAATCTCCTTTTTAGATCTTCATTTCATCGGAGGCCTTCCGCTGATCGAGGCCATGTATGATGAGTTCGTACCCCAGAACTCAGTCATCTTTGGTGGTGCTAGCTTGGGGAGAGAAGAGCCACCTGCTAGTCTTCGAAAGGTTTTCGAGATCTACCAATTGTTCCATGCCCAGTCTAGCAATTGTCGGGTAACCTTCACCGAATGGGTGAAATTCTTTTGTGGGGACTACCCTGAAGGTGCTTGAGGTACTCCAAGAGGAAAAGGGAACGCAGTTGTAAAGGGGACGCCTCTCATCTATCAATCCGAGACCAACGTTGACTGCGTCTTCTTGGCTGCATATTTGGCTTATTTTTATGCAAGTTCGTGCTCCTTGGAGGGGCAGATGACATTCGTCCAGGTACCTTTTATGTAGCTTGCGACATGGCAAGAGGGCTTGAGTATGCCCTTGCACAATATTTACCATGGCTTGGGTGCCATCTCCCCATATATTATGTATATGGGTGGCTAGGGCCCTATTTCCTTGCCACTTATGAGGAGCCAGAGCACGGGGGATAAGATGTGGCCCTTCTTGATGAGGATTGTTGGCCAAAAAGCTCTCTTTCACAGCCCCGGGGAGGCTCGAAGCTTGTTTGGTCATGACTTCTTAAATATGCATTGGGTTCCATTCGCGGTTGGAAGCTTCACTGATCGTGTTTTCATTGATGAATTGGGGAAGGAACTAGATGGTGCTCCTATGACCATCTGACAGCTCATGTTCATTCTGAGTGTTAGAGGGGGAGTTTTACCCTATCGGACCTTGCACAGTGCCAAATTGGAAGGGTATTTCCCTCACCGCATTGCCCGTCAGCATGGGCTTGACCAGAGCTGCCCCTTCTCTGTGTTTTTTGAAATGCACCAAGGTAGAATAAACATAGGAAAGACAGAAGAGCTTGGGACTCTTCAAGAGTGTTGGCTGCTAGAACATATACCGATCGCTTGGTCCACATGTCTAGAGATGAAGGAGATAAGCAAGTATGTGATACCTCACTTCAGCAAAAGGGTCCGAGTGACTGAGGCCTATGCCAACTGGTGGAGAATCACCAGTCGAGGATACTGGGATGATGATCACCCATTGAAAGGGGAAAATGGAAACTAGAGTCAGGAGACTAGACAGAGGGCGAGGTCTTTGTCTTGGGATATCCCTTGAACTGGGAGGCTCTTGAGCTTCCTCGGGAGATAGCGGCCGATGACACTTCACTGCAATTTCTTGCCATGAAGAAGAAAACTAGGAGTATCTTTGATAAACTCGGTTTCGTCTTCGAATGGAGTGAGCGGCAAAAGGTCCCAGGTCATGAGGGGCGTCCCATTCAGGACTTGAACGCACTGATAGGGAGTGGTCCTCACAGTAAATTGGCTGCGGGCCCTTCTCAAGTAGGGAGATCTAAAGCAGTTGTTCCTCCTTTGGCAAGGGGAAAGAAAAGGAAGCGATCTACCCCTATCGACACTCATGCACTGGCTCAAGCTGGCAGAATTACTCGAAGATGTAGGGGTGTCAAACGTCCTACGATTTTGGAGTCAGGAGGTAGCTCTCCTTTTTCTGATTCAATGGTAACTCCATCAGCGTCACCTTCTGCACTTACTCCACCATCTTATGTCTCTCCTAAATTATCTTCTTCTTCTTCAGAGACTGAGGTGAACGACTTCGGCCCTTCTGAACCTATTGCTATTGCTTCTGATAAGGAGATGACTCCGGAACTTGGAGAGGAACCTCTAAGTCCGGGGGCAGCTCCTGGGTCAACTCTGGTTCACATGGAGACTAATGGGACTGAAAGCTCTTGAGGTATTGCTCTAGGAAGGGAACCGGCTATCGACATCACCTATGTGCTTTAGGAGTTTAGTGTCTCGACTGAGGCAGGGATGATGATTCAAGAGGAAAGGCATGTGGTAAATGATGCCCTTGACTACTAAGAGGCTACTGTCCCCGAGGGCGCGGATTGTGAAGATGAAGGGTTTGAGCTTTTTATGGCCATGGTTCTGGCTGTTGATGATACAGAGCAGATGAAAGGGACCATGGCTGAGACTGAATAAGTGATCAGCGAAAGCCAAAGGGAAGAGGCAGCTCCTGAACCTGCCGATACTGACGCGACAATTCAGGAGGGTGAGAAACAAGAGGGGAATACCGGCCCTAAACTTGTCGAGGCCATGGCTGAGCGTAAGGACCAGGGGAGGAGTCTTCCTTGGACGATGCTGAGACAATAGTGGTGACCCCCATAGGCGAAGGTCAAGGCGACGGTGCTGGTATCAAAGAATCAAGGCAGGTTGAAGCGGGGCTGCTTCTGGGTTTGATGTGCATGAAACTGTAGACTTTTCCATCATTTTGGAAGAGCTGGTGGCTCAGATGGCTATCACTTCTACAAGCCCGATCCTTGAAACCGAAGTCTCTTCAGGAGTGGTAATCCCAGCAGCATCATCTAGGCCCATTTTTAGCGGGGTTTCAGGTATAATTGCAAGCATGCTTCATGCAGGCCTTCAAGGTTTAAGGGAACTGCCTTTCAATGAGCCGGGCGAGGCTCAGACCAAACTCAGGGAATTTGTTCCCATGATCACTGTTGCTGGGAGTGCGCCAGAAGTGCTTTCCCATTTTGATGCAACCCTCAGTGAGTTGGAGAGCTAGTGGTCGGGAAGACTGCATCATGAGGCAGAAACCAGCAAGCTAGCTTCCTTGGAGGAGTCGATCTTGTGTCGTCGTGAGGGGATAGATTCTTGCACTGAGAAGAAGGCCACTATGACTGGCCGTCAGATGGATCTCAAAAGGGAGGGACAAGCTTGCTTCAAGAGGATGGTTGAAATAAGAGAGGAGATGCAAATTTTAAGGCAGGAATTCGCTGAGCTGGAGAAAGAGATGATTCAGAGGAGGGCCATGGAGACTTCTCTAGTTGCGGATTTATCAAAACTCACTCGCACCGTTGAGTCTGAAAAGGTGGTGGTGGAGGAGTGGACTCAATTGGTGGCCGAACTGAAGGAACGTATTCAGGACACCGAGGCTTCTTCCGCAGCATGCAGAGCAGAGATCATAAAGATCATTGATCATTTTTTAAAATGTCTTTTCTTTTGCCACCACTTGTAAAAAGTTTGACCTCATGAGTGAAATGCTTCTTTTTCTCTTCTGGCTGATTTTGTTGCATGATTTTCATTCTCCTATTTACTTTGTTGCACCTCATGTGCTCTTTTTGGGCTTGGGCACCTCTCGACATATTTATTGTCTCAAGGGGCTAATACCCTAGGCCTTGTTTAGTCCCGTGATGGGCTGCTGTGGCTTCAATAACTTCGAAATGGGGAGTCATTACTTTTCTCCTCTTAACTTTTGATTGGGCAAGGGCTCATAATTCATTTTCCTCATCCTTTGGTGAGCCTGCTGACTATAGATAGTTCAATAAGGAGGGGTTCTGGCCTCCATTAGTGGTGCATTCACTTCAAACCCATCATAACTTTTGGTCTCAGCACGAACTCCTTGAGATGTTTTGAAGCAATACGCATAACCTTCAATTGGCTCAAAAGACTACAAACTTCGCTTCTTAATTCTGCTAGGGGATCCAGCTCTTCAGAGGAAGAAGATTGTCCTTTCTCAAAACTTGTGGCTGGTCACCGGTCTGTACTAACCCTATTGTGGGACGAGGAGCATCCTCTATGCTTATAGCAACAGGATTTTGAAAAATCTTTCGCGGCGGTTGGCACGCCACTTCTGGTTCAAGAGTGCAATAGGGATATGCAAGACTTTTTGTTGGTCCGACGTATAGGTAATCTTTGGAGCTGGGAATTCTATCCCCATGACTTGTTCAATCTCAGGAATGACCTCTGGTTCATCTTCTGGCCAATGTGGTTCAAAACTGGGGGCGGAGAGCAAGGATTCCTCTCCAAGTGAAGATGGAGTTTCTTTAGGGATAATTGTGGGGATGTTAGAATGAATAGGGGTTAGAGGGAGAATTCTACCGTGCCTTTCTTCCTCTTTGAACATGTTTACCAATGTTCTCCCTTCATCCTCAACATCTTCATGAGGCGAAGATCCTGTCTTCGTTGTAGACTTGTGATCCCCATCATTTGGCTTCTGAGGTGACACCAGATATGTGAAGTAATACTTAACATTTGTGTAGTGAGTTTCGTCTATAGGAAACGGTCTTTTGTCAGAAAAGACCATATGTTGTCTCCCATCTCGACTATATTTGAGGCACCGGTGCAATGTCGATGGAACCAGTCCCTGGTCATGGAGCCATGGTCGACCGAGGAGAATGTTGTAAGAAGTGTCGATGTCGATTACATGAAACTAAGCATAATCGTTCAGCTCACCGATCTAAAGACAAAGGACAACTGTGTCAGTTGGCTTCTCTCCTGACTAGTTGAACCCTTGAACTGTGACGTGAGTCAGAGTAAGAGCTTCGGACCCTAATCTCAACCGAGTAAGGATCCTCCTTAGGATAAGGTTGACTGCCGACCCTCCATATAACATAATTCGGTTGATGGGACACGCATGTAATTCTCCAGTCACGAAGAGAGGGTGATTATGAAACTTTTCTCCCAATTGCAGGACGTCCTTTGAAAATATGATTGGCATACATCCTCCTAAAATCGCCAGGTCCACCTCAATGGGTTCCACTTCGGTCTCGTACACCTCTGGATTAGAGAGAGCCTGAACCAAAACCAACCGATAATCCTTTGAAAGCATGAGGGCTTTGTAGATACTGAGAATGGCTGAAAGCATATACAGATGCCCTATAACATCATATTTCAGCTTCTCTTGGTCAAGGGTGTTTGCTCCTAGTCCTCTAACTGGTTTGGGTGATATGCTGGGTTGAGGAGAGGGCTTGGGTGGAAGAGGTTTATTTTGGCCTGCTGACTGACTTGATTGCACAACGGGCTTAGTTTGGGCAGGCTGGTTAACCGGGATAATGATTTGTTTAGGAAGAACTAGTGTTCTAGGTTGGGGCTTAGAAAATGATTGAGTATATGGGATTAGAGATATCTCAGGGAATTGGAGAATAGGTGGATTGTTTGGGGTATTCGGATTAGGAAGGAGACTAGGGAGCTATAGGATAGGCAGAATGGTATTTGGATTAGGGCGAAGTGGTGAACTAGGAAACTTCAAAGTGCCTGACTTTTGCGGTGGCGGTTGCAATGTCTTCCCTGATCTGAGGCTCATTTGCCCTGTGCTGGGTGATGCTCCTGAGATTTGCACCATATGACAAGCCTCCTGAGAGTAAAAGACCTGCCCCCTTGATTCTCTCAGTCTCTGTTCAAAGTCCAGCTCAGGGGACTACTGGGATTTCTTTGGCTTTGAATTTTTGTGCTTCTTTGAAGAAGGTGGCTATGCTTTGGCTTTAGCTACCAGGGCATCAGCAACCGTTAAGAATCCAGCTGCTTGGGCGAGGGTCTTTTTCAACCGCTTCCGTTGCATCCTGCTTATGTTGATTCCTTCAAATTCTCTGTTGAGAGCCTCGAAGTCTGAACATTTCATGGTTGTACCTGCAGGAGACATTGGGGAAGAAGGATGAGAAGCAGAAGAAGAAGAAGCAGGAGAAGGGTCAGAAGGTGGGGGACTTTTAATGTGGTTCCCCCATCGGACCAATCTAGGCAGCTTTTGACATCATCACCAGGGTTAGACGTGTGCAGGGAATATTTTAGGTCTTTCCTATGCTTAGACCCCTCATTGGACGTATTCTGAGGAGATGATGACTCGGGGACATCCTCTTGATGGGATGGGGAAGGAAGGAGGATAGTGCCTTGGGATAAAGTTCAGTAAAGTTGGCAGTAGGGGAAGAGGCTTGAGAAAGTCCTACTCGACTGGCAGTTGAGCCGTCTTGTTTCTTGAGCAAACAGTCCTTGGTGCCTGTCTCCTTCTGATTTTCTGACGTGGTGCTTGATTCATCTCGTTAGGCTTGTGAATAGCCGTAGCTTGACGAACTGCCTCTCGACTTAAAGACTTGAGTCTACTTCACCCATGGTGGACTATCCACGGTTGGGAAGTCGAAGGTTCAGCAAGATATGAGTCATCTTTACCCAGGTCTTGAGTTGGGAGGTCCTGCCATACCAGTGGAGCAGTGACTTGTGGATCACTTACTGAAACGTTGTAAGACTCTTGACATTCCCTTATTTTCATTGTGATTATATCATGGAAACTGGTACATTCGCACAGGTAATGCCCCCATATCTGGTGGTATGGGCATCAACGATCCTCATTTCCCCCGGCAAGGCGTCCGGGCTGCCTTATCGGTTTTGGTATGATAAGACCTTCTTGAAGCTTTATAACGAAAAAGGCGTGATGGAGACCATGGGCTTCGTCTTCCTCTTGGACAGTTACTGCATGGGAGGCTTTTGCTGCCCCGGATGCCCTTTTTAGCTCTTCAACCTTGATTGGACCCTTCTGAATTAGAGCCTCGATAATGTCTTTTAGCGTGAAGGAGTCATCTGTGGGGTGGCTGACCCTTCGATGGTAAGCACAATAATTTGCTTGGATATCGAGTCCAACTTGATCAGGGAACTTGGCCTCTAGAACCTCGATCATGTTCTGTTCCAATAATAATCAGAATAGTGTAAGGACCCATTCCTTCTAAAAGGGATAGACTTCATTCCTATGCTTGGTCCAACAATCATCTTGATTAAGGTCCGCAGGTGGGGGCACTCGGTTGTACAACTGTTGTTGCTTGCTTGCTTGAGGCGTTGTCTTTATTGTTCTCACGCCTTTGGAGAGGTCCAAAGTTTGGGAGGGAGCCTTCTTTAGATCAGTGACCGTGACAGCTGCACTGATCACTCCTTTTTGTTGGTTGCCTCGAGTGCTAGTCCGAGCATTGCCATTGCCCCTGTTGTTTCCTGAGCTTGCAAACAGTTGTCGTGACCTGCCTTGGTGGCGTGATAGGCTTTCTATGCAGACCGATTTGGAGATCAGCTCTGACATGGATGTCGGATTGGAGGCCTCGACATGTAGAGCGATTTCGGGTCACATGTTCTTCACACAAGTTTGAACTGCTTCCTTCTCAAGCATAGGATTGGGATGGCGAGCATCCAAATTTCTCCACCTTGACATGAACTGGTCCACGAGCTCATCAGGGTCTTGGGTCAGGGTGAGAAGCTCGATGGTTTGAACCTCTCTCTTGACCTCTTAGAAGCGCTGGTGGAAGAGTTTCTCCATTTCCTCCCAAGTTTGCAACGAGTTTGGGGGAAGTCGTGCGTTCCACTGGAAGGTAGGGACGTCAAGCGTTTCAACGAACTGACGAAGAAGGAGTCTCCCATCACCCTCTGTCTCTTGACATGCTGCTTGGAAATAAGCGATATGCTAGTTTGGGGAGGTGTTTCAATTGAATAGGGGAAACTTCCCTTTCTTGTAGTTTGAGGGAAATGACACCTAGTCAATGTATGATGGCTATGACTTTTGATAAGGTGTTGCACCCTATATCCCCATAATTTGTCTATTCTTTAAGCTATGGGTTACCATAGCATCGATGTCTGCCTGTGAGATGGAGTGAGGGACAGAATTGTCTTGTGAGGCATAGGGAAGGGGAAGCCTTAGAGCTGCACCATCTGAGGGATGGGAATTGACCTCATGGTTAGTTGATTGTCATCCGACATCTATATGATCTATCTTCTTCATCATTGCACGCACCAATTCTTCGAACTTGTTCATGCAGTATTCCTGCGAGTCCAGTTTGTTTATAATCATTACGCTTACTATTTCTCCATGAACGTCAGCCTTAGTTGCAGTTGAGGGCATTCGAACTTGACGGGTCACGCGCGGCAGATTGGTCAGCAGGGGGTCAACTTGCCCCGACTGGACTCGATTCTTATATGTTGATCGCGTGAAGACCGGTTCTTGATGGTCTTGAGACCGTGGCTGCTGAGTGGCTGGGTCATTTTCTATAACACTATGCATAGTGCAGGGCTCATGTACTTCTTCTTCAGGTTTCGTCATCTGAAGAGGGTAGAAGAGGTTCAAGCGAAGAGGGTCATCAGAGCTGGTTGCCCGAACCGCCTTGGTCAC